TTCTGACTACATAATCTTATTTTGAGACACAATAAAGGGAAATGAGTCACAGGATGAAAGTTTCAATAAAATAACCCAATGTATATTGACTATATTGATTTTTATGCCCCCGTATCGAAGATTCGGGGGTATATAGTTTTTGCCTTGTCCGTCCGTCTGTCTGTTTGTCTATTTGTCCGCAAAAACTTTAACATTGCCCATAACTTTTGATTGGTTAGAGCTATGGCTTTCATATTTCACATGTGTATTCTTTGTGACAAGACCTTTCTTTGGGTACCACCATATTTGACCTTTTGACCTTGACCTTGGAGTTTGACCCAGTTTTGCAAAATTTTACCTTGGCCATAACTTTTGAACAGTTGGAGCTAGGGCTTTCATACTTCACATATGTAATCCTTGTTACAACACCTTCCTTTGGATACCAACAACTTTGACCCTTTGGCCTTGACCTTGGAGTTTGACCTACTTTTGAAAAATTTTAACCTTGGCCATAACTATTGAATCGTTGGTGCTAGGGCTTTCATACTTCACATATGTAATTCTTGTGACAAGACCTTCCTTTGGATACAAACAATTGTAATCTATTGACCTTGACCTTGGAGTTTGACCTAATTTTGAAATACTTAAACCATGGTCTTAACTTTTGAAAGATTGGTGCTTCAGCTTTCATATTTCACAAGTATATTTCTTGTGAGAAGACCTTTCCTTAGACACCATTAATTTTGATCATTTGACCTTGACCTTGATGTTTGACTTACTTTTGCAAAACTTTAACCTTTTCCATATCTATTCAATGGTTGCTGCTAGGGCTTTCATATTTCACAGGTACATTCCTCGAGACAAGACCTTACTTTGGGTACCAACATATTTGATTTGCATTTGAGAAAGTTTAACCTTTCCTATAAGCTCCCATACGGGGGAATCAGTGTTTCACAAACACATCTTGTTTTTTCTTATTTTCCCCCTGTTTTGAGTCCAGTTGAATTTTAAAAATCTGATTGCTAGCAAGTGCAGAAAGTAAAATGCAAAACTTTTCGAGCCGCAGAAATAAATATTATATTATTAGGGGTCCTTCCGAATCCTTTGGGTTTCTCATATAAAATCAGATGCCCCAAAAGAGCTGGAAACGATCCATTCAATTGGACTTCAGATAAAACACAATAAAAAGCTGGATTCTTTACGTCTATTTCAATATGTTACAATGTCTAACGCTAGACTTAATTTTTGAAATCCTACAATGCGTGGGACAGTCAACCAAATATCACCAGAAAGGGTACTGCATATTTCACTCCTACACGATTTCAGTTCTAGTTTTCAGCACACCATGGAATCATTTTCTTATTTTTGTTGAAGAATCATCCATCGAATTTTTTATTTTCTATTTTTCATTTAAAATGTACGTATAGCACTCTCGCTCTCTCTCATATATATATATATATATATATATATATATATATATATATATATATATATATATATATATATATATATATATATATATATATATATATATATATATATACTGGTGTGCGGTAAATTAATGAGCGTACAACTAGTCTATAAAAGACAAATAGTGGAAATGACATTCTTAATTAATTTAAATTTCAACGAATATTCGCCTATCGTTCGACTAAAGCCTCCGACTATTCGACTAAGCTGTCCGAATAAAATTGACATCCCTAATATATATATATATATATATATATATATATATATATATATATATATATATATATATATATATATATATATATATATATATAAAACTCTGTGTGACCCCACGGTCAAGAGTGAGGTGGCAGGCCTTAAGTGCTTTCTAGTTTTATGAAGGAATTCCCAGGAAAATTTCCTTCTGCACAGTTAAATTCAAACGATCAATTTGTCTGAATTTGATGGCAAAGTGGTCTTTGGTTAAGACATAACGCAACATACATGTAGCGACAAAGCAAAACAGTTGATTTCAGTTTATGTTCTCAAAATACTTGTACATTGTATATATGTATGTCTTCAAAAATTGGCAAGGAGCTCTAATATCAATAATCCCTTTGCATTGTTCAAATGGAAAAAAAAACCAAAACGGAAGCCTTAGCATGAGTTTTAAAGATATGTAATTATACCTTGGCTTATTATTAATCATGCTTCCGATTGCGGTTCACAAAAGAGAGATTTATTAGAATACTGTCTAAGAATATTGTGAACTCGGGTGATTAATGTGACCCATAGGCCTCTTGTGTAAGCTTCTATATAGTGTTTCATCGAAAATTGACTCTGCAAAGCCAAGCTTAATTTCTTGTTGAAGCGCTGCATGTCTAGTTCACTTCGATTTTAAAACATAATAATGATAATTCAGTGAATATTGAATATTTGAACCAAAATCCAACAGAAATGATTTGTTACCTTCATTTTAAAGAATATAGATATGAAAATTTGTTTCACAGCAGAATAAGTTAAGAATTTCATAGAAGATAAACACAATCTGAAATGACAAGAAATGTCATTATTCTAGAAATGAATACATTATTTTTTTTTCTTATCTCAGAGTCTTTATACTCTGCAGTCAGTTTTTTTTTTTATTTCACTTCCTTTGCATTATTCAGGTAGTTTCATGTATAAATCTCGTTTAACTGACAAGCGGGTAGCTGCAAGGATTCTCAATTATTTATAATTGAATAAACTTCATGGTCTCCTTTTCCCCCGAAATATGTTAACTCTTTTTAATCACTAATGAATAATTAAGACGTCCTTTACGTAATAGGTGAAAATCTGTTGACAATATGTGATTTCATTTTTAGCGGAACGTATGTCAGATATTTCACATGCGGATATATGAGAGCATCAGACATTAATGATTTTAATTCCAACCATTTCATCTACAGCTCCCAAAGTCTTAGTAGAAATTACAGTCTTCTCGAATTTAAGTTTTACATATAAAACATGTGCATACAGAAACAAATAAACATCCTACTAATTATAAATTGATGTGTAACTTTTCAGTCGGCGACAATTTGTACCGATGGACGACAATATGTGAAGTGAGGGTAGGTACATATTGTCGCCGACGACAATATGTACAAAACGACAATATGTACCGTCACAAGGTGGCAGTGCTTAAGTGCTTTCTAGTTTTATGAAGGAATTCCCAGGAAAATTTCCTTCTGCACAGTTAAATTCAAACGATCAATTTGTCTGAATTCGATGTCAAAGTGGTCTTTGGTTAAGACATAACGCAACATACATGTAGACATATAGCAAAACAGTTGGTTTCAGTTTGTGTTCTCAGAATACTTGTACATGGTATATATGTACGTCTTCAAAAGTTGGCAAGGAGCTCTAATATCAATAATCCCTTTGCATTGTTCAAATAAAAAACAAACAAACAAACAAACAAAAAAAACAAACAAACAAAAACAAAAACAAAACCGAAGCCCCAGCATGAGTTTTAAAGATATGTAATTATACCTTGGCTTATTATTAATCACGTTTCCGATTGTGGCCCACAAAAGAGAGATTTATTAGAATACTGTCTAAGAATATTGTGAACTCGGGTGATTAATGTGACCCATAGGCCTCTTGTGTAAGCTTCTATATAGTGTTTCATCGAAAATTGACTCTGCAAAGCCAAGCTTAATTCCTTGTTGAAAGTGTACAAAGCGCTGCATGTCTAGTTCACTTCGATTTTACAACATAATAATGATAATTCAGTGAATAAATTGAACCAAAACCCAACAGAAATGATTTGTCACCTTCATTTTAAAGAATATAGATATGAAAATTTGTTTCACAGCAGAATAAGTTAAGAATTTCATAGAAGATAAACACAATCTGAAATGACAAGAAATGTCATTATTCTAGAAATGAATACATTATTTTTTTTTCTTATCTCAGAGTCTTTATACTCTGCAGTCAGTTTTTTTTTTATTTCACTTCCTTTGCATTATTCAGGTAGTTTCATGCATAAATCTCGTTTAACTGACAAGCGGGTAGCTGCAAGGATTCTCAATTATTTATAATGGGATAAACCTTCATGGTCTCCTTTTCCCCCGAAATATGTTAACTCTTTTTAATCACTAATGAATAATTAAGAGGTCCTTTACGTAATATGTGAAAATCTGTTAACGATATGTGATTGCTTTTTAGCGGGACGTACGTCAGATATTTCACATACGGATATATGAGAGCATTAGCCCTTAATGATTTTAATTCCAACCATTTCAACCACAACTCCAAAAGTCTATATAGTAGACATTACAGTCTTCTCGAATTAAAGTTTTTGTAAATATAATGCCTTTTATATCTGTTTTTCATGACGATTTTCTAAGAATTGAAATGAGGAAATATAACGCGAAAATAGTACTGCTACAATATTTTATCTTTTTTCTCTCTAAATTTGAAAGAAAACATGATTTGGGGAAATTGATATATGGGATACACTTCAGAATTTGATTTGAATATAAATGTATAAAACATATTCATACAGAAACAAACGTCCTACTAATTATGAATTGATGAATATTTCACAATTAAGGCTTCAGTGTGTAGTTTTCAATCTCTATTACCCTAGAGTGAATTTCTAGGGATTCAATCATCAATCAGTATAACTTATTAGAGCAGATAGTTTATATATCGTGTTTCCTTTATCAAACTTCTAGGTTGCATTTTTTTGGGCTATCTCAAATGTCTCAGATATTAATTAATAATCAACAGTATCGTATTTCAAATTCAATAACCGTACGAGGTTTTGTATGTTAAATGTCATTGGAAGCCGAACATATTAATTAACGTCCATTATTGCATGTTTTTATATCGATTTTAAACTTTTTAAAATATTTACCTGCTTTACTGGCTCTTAATCAAACTGACCATTAAGATTTAGCATTGTTTAACGGTTCAATATATGTAAATGATCTATAATGACAGGTAATAAATGGCTCTAGGCGCCGTTAAATTTTCTAAGATCAATATATTGACTGGCTGTGCTAATCTGACTATTCTTTTTGCAGGTGATACGAGGCTTTGATGGCCACGCAGACTGTTCCGCTCTCCTCGTCTGCTGCGGTGAATCCTGGTAAATCGGTTCCCCTCAATGAGTCCAGCTACAAGTAGGATATCGGCGATGTTGAATAAGAATGAGGTTCCGTTTCCCTATTTTTCGCTCATTACGTCCGTTTCATCGTTGGAGTATGAAATGGAACCCTGGGGATTTTTCCTTTAATTGTGATGTTCGGACTACTTGATTTTTGCTCGTGAAGCATGTTTCATAGGCTTGTTAGCTGAATAACCATTATCCTAAAATTTAAAAAAAAAATAAAACACGTCTTTGATTCAGATTTAATGGAGAAGAATTCAGTATAAAAATTGAAAGATGTCTTCGTCACCGAGTAATTCTTCGAACACTACTTCCGATTCTATTTCCGGAATAGAACTTCCGCCTGGATATAGTACAGTTCATCTGATAGTGACAGTCGTCATTGTGACGGCGATAATTTTACTTATTGTGGTTGGAAATTTACTTGTAGTGATTGCGATTTACACAGATAAAAATTTAAAATCAAAACAAAATTGGTTTATTGCATCCTTGGCTGTGGCAGATTTTCTACTTGGTTTGATAATTATGCCGTTCAGTCTTTCGAATGAAGTGATGGGATACTGGTATTTTGGTTCTGTGTGGTGTGATTTATGGAAAGCTATAGACGTCCTCCTCTGTACCGCTTCCATTCTAAGCATCTGCCTTATTAGTCTGGATAGATATTGGTGCATCACTAAGGCCTTGACTTATCCCAGACAACGAACAGCGACGCGCGCAGCTCTTATGATTGCCGCCGTGTGGATATTGTCCTTAATCATTTGTGTACCTCCATTGATAGGGTGGAAAAATCCACTTCCGGTTACAGATTATCCATTGTGTTTACTCAGCAGTGAAGTGGGATATATCATTAGTTCTTGCATGGGGTCGTTTTATATACCGGGGGTTATCATGGTGATTGTTTATTACAAGATTTACCAAGCTGCAAAAGAACGTGCTAGAAAACAAACCCAAAACGGGAAAAAGGCAAAGAAAAAAGTAAAGAAGTCCGAAAAAGAACTAAATGGTCTCTTGTCTGAAAATAACCAAGGGGAGGGAGAAGAAACATTGAATATGCCTGTCAAAGTCAATAGCATGACTCTAACCGATGATGAAAGTACTTGGCCTATTTATCAAAAGCAAACTTCTAACCAAGATGAATCAGGCCAACAGGCAGAAACCGAGAATGGAGATGATGATGATGATGAGAATGATGATAATATAGACGAAGGAAATGACGAAGAAGAATCATCAAGATCGAACACCACTGCCACAACCCGCGTGACGTCAGATCCTGGAGAAATAAAAAGAGATCAGTCTGACATTAACGAAACTATTAAAGATATTGAAAGACAAAAACGCAAAATTGCAAAAGCGCGGGAAAGACGAGCTACCATTGTTCTTGGAATTGTCATGGCGGCTTTTATCGTCTGTTGGGCTCCTTTTTTTACTCTGTATGTCATAAAAGCATTGTGTCACTGTATTCCCGATATTGTGTTTAACGTTTTCTTTTGGGCTGGTTATTGTAATTCTGCCCTGAATCCAATAATCTATACGGTGTTTAATCGGGATTTTAGACATGCTTTCAAAAGAATTCTTTGTCGTGAGTCAAAATATCGGTAGAGTAATGGACGTGACATTGTTGCAGGTTGTTTAATTATAAAATTAATGCTTTTTGTACTCATTGGAAGAACTAATATTTTTGTTCCTCTTAAAAATGTTCATTAAATCATAAAAAGTATCAGTGTTATTTATATAAGGGATCAATATTTTGTTTCCAAATTCCCTGGTCGATTGAGAATTAAATTAAAGAAACTCTGTGGAAAAACAATGATCTTGAAATGAAATTAAGAAAATGCTTCACATTTTAATTAAGAAGAAAAATGTGGCTTAAGGTCAAGATCTAGTAAATGACTTTAGACTGTCTTTTTGGTGCTAGATCCATTATACGTCATAATTGTTTTAAGCTTAATTTTTCCCGTACTTTACGGCTGTAAAAGAATTGTGTAGCAAATGAAGGATTTTCAATGTATGCAATTTGAAATCATGTCGAAAGTAACCCCGATATCTATATTCAATTTAATATCATTTTAAAATAGAGGTTAAGAAGAAATGAAAAACCGTTTTCTGAGAAACTGTAGGCAATATTGATACATTTCTTTTATCTGAGATGGAAAAAACTCCTAAATTTATACCTGACTTTCTTCGTTTTTCATTAAAAATTACAGTTTAAAATATGTTTTTTCGTCATCCGAAACACCCTATTTTTGCAAGCCATATTTCTAAAGGATCATTAAAAGAACTCGTTTCTCAAATTTCAAAAATTTGTAGGCATCTTTCATTTACTAGATCCTGACCTTAAACATTATTTTTTAACATTATGAATTGAATTTATCAGTATTTAAATAAAAAATATGTCCCGTTAACTGAATTTAAACCACAACCATTTCAGTGCTCTGGATATTTGAAATTTGTGGTATACCTCGTGAAAAAATAAGTGTTCTAATCTGGATACGGTTTCAGTTGGAAAATGGCAGAATTCATTAATTCTTACAGTGCACCGGTTTCTGTCTAGCCTTCTATTGCTTATTTCAACAGTAATGCCGACGAATGTGACACCGAGAAGAGATTCGTTGAGATTTTTATTATGCAATAAAACCATTTTTTTTTTCAAATAACATTGAAGAAAAAAAAGCAACAAATGCATTTTCTAAGAACAATGTACATAAATGCAGAATCATTCCATTAATTCCAATTTTGTCAATAAATGGTGATATTTCTCATTTTTAGGTTAATGACGAAAAAAAACCCATTATAGTTGAACATGATATATTACTTTATGGCGAAGTAAGAAATGGAAAAGTGAAATTTACATTGAAACATATAGAAGTTTTGTTCATGAATAAAATATAAATGCATTTGCCTCTCTATGACTGTCAATGCTTAATCTTAATTGTCATTGTGTATTTTTAAAAAATGGAATATTTTTCCAGCTGCTTTCACGAGGTAAGTTGGGAGATTGCTCTGAATTTTTACCGATATTTGGTGATTCTAAATTACCACTTTATCAACGGAAATGCCAGATTTCACTTGGTCGTGAAGTCTGCATAAGATAAGGGGTTGGTGAGTTTTACTGAGGACCCCTCTATAAAAATATTGAAAATTGATTGTCATTAAATGAACCATACCTGTGCATTACTAGTCATTATTTTTTTATAGTTTTTCAGAACGTATAGTTATTTGTATCCGTGTGTAATATACACTAAATGCTTTTTTTCTTTCTTTTTTTTTTTGAGGTCAATACAATTATTTAGCCACCTGGGGATCGTAACATAAAGCTTGCTAAGTTTTTGACTTAAGTAGGGTCATAAGTATGTTTTAGGTGCAATCTTAAGACCTGCCTAAGTACTACTTAAGTATGTCTTAAACCGTAACATAAAACGGACTTAGGTAGGTCTTAGCTAAGTCAAACTTATGTTCAAAATATTTATGAATCATCCTAGTTTTTCAATATATATATATATATATATATATATATATATATATATATATATATATATATATATATATATATATATATATATATATATATATATATATATATATTTGTAAAAATGATTTAGTTACGTTTTTTATCACATATATATTAAAGTTGACGTCCTTACCTATCGGTTTTAGCTAGGTTAGATTAGATTTCGTATTTAATTAAAGTTAATTCTGTTTAAATGATTCGAAATATTTGAAAACAAATATTGCACAGTCACAAAGTTGCACGAGTGGTTCATTGTAAATGAGTGAATATTGTTTATCACTCGAGACTGCGATGTTTTCACTTTACCGTTTGTTGTTATTCTTTCGTATGACAAATGTTCACTTGCTTTCAAATTGTCATTCTCGCAGACATGGTACGATAACCGAACGTCTATGTACTTGAAATTGAAACTCTAATAAAAAGCGAAAAACAATAGGGACATTTTGAATTTTTTTCCTCCCATATAAACCAGCAGAGACTGCAGACGTTTTATGATATACTTATTTATAATTTAATGAAGGATGGAAAAGAATTGTTTTCAGAAAATAACTTTTTCGTATATCTCCAACTTATCAACAATCTCTCTCTCACTCACTCTCTCTCTCTCTCTCTCTCTCTCTCTCTCTCTCTCTCTCTCTGGAACGTTAGAGAACGGTAGTGAACCCTGTCTGAATCCTCGCTTGTTGCGTTCTACATTCAATCTAATTTACAGAAAATCTTTATTTGTTTTCTAGTCAACATCCTTCAATTCACCGACAATTTTTAAAATCATTTCATCTCATTTTTTCACAGTGAACAAACAAATCCATGATTACTGTATACAATTTACTTATTATGATTAGTGTTTATAACCTAGGTCCCACTAATATTTCAAACGTATCCCAAAAATAATATTTTGCATTTACATGTATATGTCATTTAGAGAGTGATATTGGAATCAGTGATGAATAACCCCCCCCCCCCCCCCCCCCCCGACGAAAAACTAAAATTCTTATACCAGTATCTTAAATATAGAAAATTATTTTTTAATGCATAATATAAATAGAGAAATGTTTTAACATAGAGAGTCAACCTTAAATAGTTCTAAATATATATTTAAGAAAGGTAAGATATACTTAAGTCACCTCTACCGGCCGCCTAAGTTTTGCTAAGTTTGTCAAATCTTAGCAAGTTTCTAGTTACGGTCTTAAGTTTAAGACTGTACTTAAGTCCTACTTAAGCATGGTCTCAGACTTAAGTACCCTTTATGTTACGACCCCCTGATCATAAGGAGTACAATATTCACCGAGCCCGAAGGGCGAGGTGAATATTGTACTTCAGAGGCGGCTTAATCATCGTATTGACTAAAAAAACAGCAATAATTTTAAGTTAAAAGTAAAAATTGACGTTAAAATGGTGTTGGGTGGAGGTCCCCTGACCATTCCCTTCACAACCACCCCATCCCAAATTATATTTTCCCCATTGTTATGTTCACCCGAATGGAAGTCGGTAGCAAGTGAAATTGCTTTCCAAAACTATTTGCTTCAATTTGGAATTTCCCGCTCTATTCTTAGACCAATGTAGAGAAAAATAAATTCCTGTAGGTTACGTGCAAGTGAATATAACGTAGTATTTTTCTAAACGGTGTTGGATCTCAGCCAATCAGAGTGATATGAATTATTCAATCATATCATAAAAGAAATTATAATTAATATTTTGCGGAATACTATTATTTAGAATCGTTCATCATGAGAGTTATTGTACAAGGCATGAATAACCTATTTAGTTAACCTTTAAGCTTGACTCTGTGGAAAGAATTTCTTCTTCTTCACAGAATCCTCGTGGTTATCCATCTTATATTATTGAAAAGAATGAAAACAAACAAGGTTTCCTACAAACGTGTGCAAGAAAACATGAATAAGAGATCTGAAATCGTTGGTTTTTAAGGAAACATGCATTATTTCAAAAAAAAAAAAAAAAAAAAAAAAAAAAAAAATGTGATTTACTGATTGTTATAGATCAGTTTAACTTGATAAAGTCTAAATTCTTAATGTAACATTAATACGTACTAATAGAAATATAATAAATTTCTTAAGCATAGTACTTTTTTTTTAACTTGCAAGACAGTCTAGAAGAAATCATGTATGTTTTTGTGTCATAGTGCAGTGTAATACCAATATTATAGCATTATACCTCTAATTTTGTGGTATATTTACGGTTGTGCTGTTAGACTCTGACAGAAAGATCAGTCGGGTCGTAAATTGACAGTCGGGGCACGATCACCATCAGTTTTTTGACAATTTATAGAACGTTCATCCTATTCCGGCTGCTCTCAAAACAGAACTTATCTCAAACCTGGAAAACTCATTGACATCCATCTCCCTGTGGTATTTTAGGTTTGCATGGAAATATTGTCTGGTACAAAGATCGTACATTGATAACATGGAGGGAAATGATGTCAGTTCACAAGAGAGCAATTTGCAAAATAAAGGATGCAAGATGTAATTTTTTTTTTTTTTTAAAGTTTTTGATGTAATTTTGAGTGAATTTCCCCGGAGTTCCAGTGCGCTGTCTGGAGAACTTTTGATTAGGTCAAATTTACGATGTAAAGACGTTGTAGTTTGTTTCTCCTCTGTGTGCACATGACATATTAACTGATTATTTATGAAAGTCTGTCAAGATCATTATGCTGTCGCGGTTAGTTTTATGGAATTTCAAATTAAGACACAGAACGTAATTGCTATTTAGAAAAAGCAATAAACTTATCTTTGAAAAGGTTTTCCCAAAGAAATACACACATGACTTAATTTTCTCGGACACACTTCAACACACCAAAAATCTCATTGATGTGGTACTACATTTCCTTTTTTAAGCCAAATAAGATGATTGCAGTTAGTTACATTCCTCTGATATCATTTTTTTATTTATGTTATTAAAAATTTAATACAGATACTCAAAACTATATTATATGACAAAATGGTACAAGACATTATGATATAATTATATAATAACAAATTTGAAATTGGAACAAAATGGAACAAAAAACTTTTTTTTTAAAGTTAACTCACCTGAGTTTAAAGTTTAACTGAGCAATCCTGATCACATATTGTCCGGAGTTCTCCTGTCATAACGTTTGTAAACTTTTTTACATTTTTGACTAGCTTCTTTTCTAGAACCACTTTGCCTAATTCAACGAAACTTCCCACAAAGCATCCTTGGGTGAAGAGAAT